ATGAAATATATATTCAAACTATTCTTTAAAATTACATTAATCCCAGTATTTTAAATGAGGAGTGATGTTAATCCTTGTTGAGTTCATTTTTGAAAAAAAAATTTGTTCATTTGTACAACAATTCTTATTTTTCGGAAAGTAAATATTTTAAAAAACACATTGTTTTTCCATATTTATTTAAAAGTTTTGTTTTCATACAAGCATTATCCATAATTGACCCTCAAATCCAAAATCGAGTTTTATAGAACATGCACTTATTTTTATGTTTTCTCATAGTTTTTCAAAATAAATTATAGTGACGATTTCAAATATCTTTTTAAATGTTAAAATTTTCAATTTGTCACAATAAATAAATACATGATATCTCTTATTTATGTTATGCACGTCGTTTTTTCATATCATGAAATTCATCAATGATAAAATCTGTATCAATCTTCTCAGCAATTATTCTCTCAATACAGGGAATCAAGCAATCAGCTATAAGTTTATCTTCCATATTGTTTCTGAGTCTATTTTTTACAATCTTCATAGTTAAAAAAAAAAATCATAGGTAGAATTAATACTAATCGAATTAAACTATCAATCAAGGGATAATTTAAATATTTTCTTATTTTCACTAATCCTTGACATAACTCAAAGATTGTTGATAGATTTCTCATTTAAAAAAGAAATGGAACATCAACTTAAGAGAAGAAATCTCATGAGTTTACAAATTGATTTGTATCTTCGTAACCATCTCTATGAGAGTTTATACAATCTGTATTTGAAAACAAACACCAAGTGTGTTTGTATTGAAACTTTGAGCTAAATTTGTGTACTAGTCAGGTTATACTAGGAAACCAAGAGTGGTTGAAAATATTTGAAAACTAGGAATGGTTATAATACTTGCAATCAGGAGTAGGTAAACTCGATCTAGACATGTCGTTTAGGGATAGATGCAAGAGTGACTAAACTTGGACTAGTCATGTTAACTAGGGGACCAGGAGTGGTGTAAGAATGCTTGTAACCAAGAGTGGGTAAACTTGGACTAGACAATTGTCTAGGGTAGATCCTGGAGATGCTAAACTCGGACTAGTCATGTTGATTAGGGGACCAAGAGTGGTGTAAGAATACTTGCAACCAGGAGTGAGTTATACTCGTGTAATTTTTAAAGGATAATGGAACCCTTTAAGAGTTCTTAAGGGAGAATTGAACGTAACTCAGATTGAGTGAACTAGTATAAAATTTACACTTTGATATACTTGCCTTAAAGATTTTACAAAAGTCTTTTATAATATCATCGTCTGAACTTATTCTCCTTTACTTATCTTATAAAATCAGTCTCTAGATAAAGAACACTTTCGTATACTCTTATTACAATTTATTAGATGTTGTTTTACATATTTTGGAAAATACTCTTCACCCCTCTAGTGTCTTCATGTGTAATCATTTTCCAGCCTGATTCCCTCATTCTTTGAATCAAAGTTTTTGTTGTGAAAATCAAAGACATTGCATTCAATATATCTTGATTCTTACATTAAGCAACGTGACAAAGCTCATGGGTAATTGCCAAAATATCTCACATAAGATGAAGCAAAAAATTGAATTCAAAAGATGTAAGAATATTATAAATGGTATTAGCATCAGAGGGAATAATTACCTTATTTTGTAACTTTTTAAAGAACATCACAAGTAGCCTCATATATGCATAACAAGCTATGGATTGAGTTTAAATGAGATCGCCATCAAGTTTCTACAAGCTCTTTGTAAAGTGCTTATTTAATTGAGTCCACTACCAGTTTTATCATCATCACTAGCAATCAAATTTGCAATGATTGTTACTTGAGGAGAGTTTGTAATTGATCATGTCTATTAAGAGAAACTATCACAAGTTTTACAATCTAAGCTAAATTTGAGAGAAAAAAATGATAAATATGACTCATTTCTTTTGCAGTTGCAGCATAAGTGCTAGTTGTAAGACAATAAATATAATATGCATTATGAGAATCTTTTTAAGAATAAAGCTTGTAACCAAGATTGAAGAGTTTGGATAATAATTTTGTAGGCTTAATAACATTGATGGTCCCTATTTTCGTCAAGTTTGTTTGAAATGATCCTAGTTTTTTTTTCTCTTCAATGTTGTCCTAAAGAATGTAATTTATGTTTAATTTAGTCTTTTTGTAGACGGTGTTTAAATCGTTAACGGTCCACTGTCCAGCTGTGCAAAACCCAAATGAGATGACATTTAGAAGCTGCCACGTCACCATCTTCTTCAACGTTCAGCCCAAACAGAAACTGAAACCCTAACTTTTCTCTAGCCATCTAACCCTAGCGCCGCCACACCTAAACCCTCAGGCCGCCACCGCAATTACCAAAAACCTTCAAACGCGACCTAGAAGACCATCACCAGGACGCTGTTGTGACCACCTTCACATGCCACCATCTTCATCGCGCGTCTTTACCATCATCTTCTTCCCAGTTTGCGCTGCCACCATAGCCCCGTTTCCAGCACCATGCCATTGTGCCATCATCCTCTCCTTCCACCATCAACCTCGCATCAGTCGCTGCGAAGCGCACTTCCACCATCATTAACTGCACCGGAAACCTACATCAAATCCAATCCAGAAAACTCACAAAACCCCAGAAATAACACCGCTGCGATTCACGATGTCTTCGAGAGTTCGTCCTTCTCCATTAACGCAACCTAGCAGTTCAAAACCCTCAACCCTATCGCACCTAAGAACCACCATATTTGCGAACTTGTTTCTCCCTCGTGCTTTCATCAACCTGCAACGAAACACAATCAGTCCAAAAATTCCCAAATTAGAAACCCATAGAACCCTAATATTGCACATCCACCAAGTGCAAGACCCCCAGCATCCATCACAAGGGAAATGCTGCAACGTCTTCATCTTCTTCTTCATTGAGCCAGCATCGTCGCGAGAGAGAAAAGGAATCTTGACCACCACTAGCATGCTTCCATCATCACAACAGCGAGTGACCTCCTCGATTAGGACACGTGGCAGCTCCACGTGGACAGTTAAATGTCATCTTATTTGGATATTGCACAACTGGACAAGTGGCTATTAACGATTTAAACGCTATCTGTAAAAAGGACTAAATTGAACATAAATTACATCATTTAGGCAACATTGAATAGAAAAAAAAACTAGGACCATTTCGAACAAACCTGACGAAAATAGGTACCATCAGTGCTATTAAGCCTAATTTCGTAAATATGCTTCTTTTAAACCAATCGATCTTTTAGGTTCTGTCATGGTTCTCCGATTACCTTTTGTGAACACACTTGGTTAGGGTCTTGATATTTTGAGTATTTTCCCCTAAAACCGTAATCCCTAGTTTTTGTGATTTATCAATGGAATGACAACAAATGGACAAGTAGCTACAAGAAACAAACCTCTAAGTATTCATAATAACCAATAATTACCAAACATTAAGGAAAAAAACGTTGGATCTATGACAGCCTTAAATTATACTTTTCTAGCAAGTTGTCACATAAAAGAGAAATATTACTTTGACACACATAATTTTTTATATTCATTTGACAACATCCTTCCTTACTTTTCACTTTCTTCTTTTTTGAAAAACTACAAAAATTCACTCTTTTAAGACCATTTTACCCTGTTAGATGTGTCAAATGAATGTTAATGTTTCATGCTACTCTTACTCCACATCAAATTTCATGGTTATGCATAAAATTTCATAAGCTTAATTCTCTTTCACTTATTTGTTTTACCTTAGACATAACAAATTATATCTATCAAGCATCATCAAAGTAATTTAACTTAATTCAACCCTAATTTTTACATACAAAACCATGAAAAGAAAGACCTTGATATTAACTACTTAGAAAAGAAGAAGGATTGAATAAAATATTCTGAAAATTTCCAATTGAAGTCATTAAACTATCCCATAGAATATTGTTTCACTATTAACTTCTCACATAGATTAAACTTTGATAAAAGGGTTCATATAATGCATATTATCTTGGATTCATGGCATAGTTAGAAACAAATCAGAGTCTAACTCTTTTTCTCTACCACAACTAAAATCAAGGCACAAACTGATAAATATTTTCAATTGATTCATGTAGGAACACGAGTACAAAAGGTCAAAATTAAGGTTGATAGCATTTTTTTCCTGCAAATAGGTACTAGATAGAGTCCAACTATGGCTGGAACTTAGATTGGTAACATAGCAAGTTTGACAGAAAGGCAAGTATAAGAAAAACATTACAGAGTTTCTAAGCATAACTTAACACTTCAAATTTTTTATTATCAAAACTTATTTAGTGGAAGAAAATAATTGTTGGGAAAGGACAAACCGATAGATAGCAAGTTCAAAAATTTGCAAGGGTTTTAAATCATTTAGGATTGTTATTTTCTTATTGATGGAATTTTTTTTATTATGCTATATATGTTTTCACTTTCCAAAGCGTCATTTATTAGATGTAATCGGTGGATGTTTTATCGCCTAAACAAATACATTTGATTGATGGATTATTTCATCAGTAATGTACACTTTGAATCCAACATACATTATCAGTAATTATTTGGTGGCATATCATACCTAAATAACGGATTAGCATCCATCAATAAAATTTCTTAGGTAATCCAACGTTTTCTTATACTGTTATAAAACTTTGTTAAAGGATAATATATCTCATAAAACTAACTAAACACAATTACAAAACCATGCACTGATTTCTTCTGTTATTTGACCTTAAAATTCAATTTCTTACATGCTAACGAAAATCCTTATTATTGTAAATTATATTTTCATAAATAAAGAGCATAGAAAAATCCAAAAAGAAGGGTATAATGTTTTGAATGACTCACTTTTTCAATTGACATGTTTTCTGAATTCACCTCAAAGTTAAAATTGCAATATAAAAGGCATTTTCCCAATTTGCATGGTACTGGAGCTTTTTTTTCCTTGTAGTCGCCAAATTAAAATGCGAAGTACATCTGTTTTACATTTTGAATTGTACGGAAAAACTACTAATCATCATTGTCATTGTCCTCGTCTTCATCATGATCCTTCTCGTTCTCTCCTTCATCAACTTCATCTGTTTCTTCTGTTTGCTTTCCTCCATATTCATGTTCTTCCAGTTCTTTAGTATCAGTATTAAAGTCATGTAATCTAAATATGCCTTCAGCAGTTCAACAATAGAAACAACAAGTAGTCGTCGCTTTGTCATTTTATGTATTAATTTATTTAAGAAACTTCAACCCCTCATTCATGCTTTCATACTTCTATGGATGTTAACATAAAAGTTTAATTCTGACTTCAGGATGGAGAAAATACATTGTTGAAAAGAAGTCACACTACATTTAATTTGGTTTATCTCATTGTGGGGGCACTAGCGAATCAGTCATTGCAAATTTGAAATTTCCAAACTCAAAGTTTGTTTCATTTAGACGAATAGATCCTTTAGGTTATGGTGATATTTCTCTTGTTACATTTTGGCAAGTCACTTAGGTAAGTTAGGGTCTTCATATTACTTGGATTCGCACTAAGTACTTAGTTTTGCCTAGTATTACTAATATCTCTTGATCTATCCTCTAATCAAGATAGACGTGTTTGGATAATAATTTTGTAGATACGCTTGTTTTAGACTAATAATAGGTCTTTTAGATTCTCCCAATGGTTCTCATATTACCTTTTATGAACACACTTGGTTAGGGTAAGGATAGTTAGAGTGCTTTTCTCAAAAAGCTTGCAATGCCTCTTAGTTTTACTTAAATATCGTGATTTAGCACTAGAATGACAACAAATGCACTGGTAGCTAGCATAATTTTTTTTCTTGCAAGTTGCTGCATCAAATTTCATGGCTATGCATAAAAAATGCAAGGCTTAATTCTCTTTCACTTGCCTTTTGGTTTTACCAAGGCATAACAAAATATATCTACCAAGCATCATAAAAAAAATAACTAAACTCAACCCTATTTTTTATATACTATAGAAAAAAGTAAAAAGGATGACCTCGATTTTCACTATTTAAAAAAGAAAAAAGGATTGATATGAAAATATTTAGAAAATTTCTAATCGAAGTCATTGAACTTCCCCTCACAAATATTGTTTCACTGTTCAATTTGTCACCTCGATTAAACACTGATAAAAGGTTTCATATGCATATTATCTTTGATTTATGGCATAGTTAAAAACAAATCTCAAAATCCTAACTCTTTTTCCTCCACCATAACAAAATTTCAGGAATAGAGTGATAGATATTTTCAGTTGATTCATGTAGGAACACGAGTACAAAGGGTAAAAATTGAGGTTATTATTAATTTTCCCTTGAAAAACAGGAACTATGTAAGCCCAAGTATGGCTAGAACTTATATTGGTAACATAGCAAGTTTGATGGAAAGGCAAGTAAAATAACAAATTACATACTTTATAAGATAACTCAACACTTCAATTTTTTTTTATTCCGAAACTTATTTAATGGAAGAAAATAACTGCTGGCAAAGGACAACCTATGTGATAAAAAGTTCAAAATTTTTCAAGGGTTAAATCATTTACTCTCCAAAGCATCAAACTTACTAACATATTTGATAGATACTTTACCATCTAAACAAAAATAGTTGACCGGTGAATTATTTTGTGGGTATTGTGAACTTTGTCTTTACATACTCTCTATCAGTAATTATCCGCCGACATTACATACATAAATAATGAAATGCTATCCGTTGGTAAAATTCCTATGATAATTAAAGGTTTTCTTATAGCGTTATAAAACTTTGATAAAATATTTTAGAACTCAAAAGCCAAATGATTTTTCATATGAAAATGATGAGTAGTAGCATATAATTATATAAGATGACATGAAAACAAAGTTCAAGTTCCATCTCAAAGAGGATAAAAAAGAAAAGAAAGACTTAAAGGTACATAGACTTCAGTAGTGTATCTGAAATTACATACCTTCAATTGAATCTTTTTCAGTTAACCATGTTAGAAACTGAAAAGGATAGAAAGAAATGTATCGCATTATTAGGTTGCTTGATTCTGAGGGAAACCAGAGAAGAGTGTACAATAACAAAAGCAAGATAATGAAGACCACACACAAAATCAGAAGAGTAGTGGCCAACCAACTGAGATCGCTTATAACAAGGTGGACACCAGCCAAGAATGCCACTGACAGGGTTGCAAGAGTTATTCCTAAAAGGGGTCTTGCCACTTTAAGGGCAAAAAGAGCCAAAGTTACATCTCCCAGTTGAGCCCAAATGAGTATAATAGTGACACTAATGCCACCATACATAGATATGGTGGTGCATAAAATATATGGTTTAAACCACACTTGATTCAGCATAAGAGCCATGCCTTCTCCTGGAGTAGAACTATTAGTTCCACCAGGCAAAGTAAAACCTGCAGCAAATGTTATTGTAGTTATAAGGGTGGAAACAACCATAAGAGTGTTGATTCTGTCTTTATAAAACTCTGTATTTTTGGCTTTTGGTTTGAAAGGGGAAGAAGGGACTTCAATAGAGTGTGACCCTCTTTCAGCATTTTGTACACCAGCAGATTTTAGTTGACACCATGTTAGCCGCTGCAAATACAAGTCTGTGTTACCAATTTAACAACACGACAATAGAAAAACACAAGTAGCCTAAGTACGTAAGGGAGTATTGATGATGCTGATTGACTTTTTTATACAATTAAACAATTTATGCACATGCATGGAATGGAATGTTAAAATAAACGTGACACAGATTCTTCAATTTATTATATTCTTCAATTTATTATAGTTGATTTTTATTGAATTTTGGAAACCTTTAAATAGTTAATTACAAACACAGACCAAGACCAAGTACAAATAATAAAAACTGAAAATAAAATATCAATAGACTCCAAATAAAATCTACTTAATCTTATCTATATCTTATATTAAAAAAATAAAATCTATCATCCCTATTTTATCTCTATCAAAATCAAACTAAACTCAAACTAATAAAATAAGATTCAAACAAAATTATTAATAAACTCCTAAAATTTAAGTTTATCCCAATATGGAATTCACCACCACAAGAAGGAAAGAAAAAATGAAGGCTAATGTGTTTTTAGTGCTTGATTGAGAGGTTCAACGCATTCATCCCAACTCCTTCTCCTTTGTTCGTGGGCTTCTAAAGACCTAACAAGTTCATCCATTCTGAGAATAGACAAGTTCTTTGATTCTTTGATGGAGCACATGATACTTTCAAAATCTTTTGTGAGGATCTCAAGATTTTCCCCACAACCCGGCTAGGTGGCATTTGTTCTCCATTCCCGTCGAGTTGGTTGACCACCTTCTCCACCCGAGTTATGTACTCAGTTACGTGCTCTTTGGGCACCATATTCAACTATTCAAACTCTCCTCTAAGAGCTTGTATTCGGACTTCTTTGACGCGATTGTCATATTTATATGTAACCTCCAATATCTCCCAGACTTCTTTTGTTAATGTGGCATTCGTTATTTTCGAATCTCGACTCATACTACATTCTAGAGACTATTGCACGTGATTTCTTTGACGTGGTCATCTGTGCCATCGTCTGATGTTTGTCCCCATTGGGTTTATTGTACTCGTCATCCACCATATCCTAAATGTCTTATAACCTCAATAACACCTTGATTTCTATGCATCAATTATCATAATTGGTTTTTCTAGTCAGTTGTGGCACACTAATAGCATTGACAACCTTTGTCATCGTTCTCACAAAACACTCAAGCACTCAGTGTATTCCTCACAAGGTTTGACTCTCCTCTCTCTTCTTTTTCTCTCTCGATACTTAAAGTATAAAGCTTTGATACCACATTGTAAAAATAAATATGACACACACAAATAGGTGCAAATAGGTGCAAATAGGATGTTGGGCTAAGTATAAAAAATAAAAACTGAAAATAAAATATCAACCGACTCAAAATAAAATCTACTTAACCTATATCTATTTTATATCAATAAAATAAAATGATAGTGCACCTAAATAAATTGAAAATCAAAACTACCTATCTTTATTTTATCTTTATCAAAATCAAACAAGATATCACTAAAACCAAATTAATAAAATAAGATTCAAACAAAATTATTAATAAACCCCTAAAATTTAAATTTATCCCTAGATAAAATTCACCACAAGAAGGAAAGAAAAAATGAGGGCTAACGAGGAATTGAAACAACAATTCTTTCCTAAAAACATCATTATCCAAGAATAATTTTGATGAATTGAAAAGCTAGTTGAACATATATTCCGTTAACAATAATTATAAACTAAAAATATTCGTAAATCTTGAACTTTTGACTAAAAATATACTCTATATATACTTGCCTGTACGATAGGTGGATTATTTTGTTGTTTAAATTGTTCAAAAGCATCGAGAGCTGTTTGGTTATTGTTGTTAAGCCAATTGAGATCCACACTTGTGTTCCATGTCAAGGCTTGCACAATTTTTGGACGGTAATGTGAGGCAGCTAAATGCAAAGGAGTGTTTCCACCGTAATCCTTGCCATTTATCATATCTTTAACTACGTCATTTACATCGTGCAAGACATACCTTACCACATCAAACTGTCCCATTATAGCTGCAATGTGAACAATATTTCGACCTTTGTTATCAATTATTTCTTTGGGATTGGGACAGTTTTCAAGCAATTTCTTTACCACTTCAATATGTCCACATGCAGAAGCCAGATGAATAGGATAAAAGCCATCTCTGTCTGTTTCCATATTGCAGGTATCACACTTTTGAAGCAAACACTCAACACCATTTAGGTAACCTTTGGAAGCTGCATAGTGAAGAGCATTTCTTCCTTTGTCATCCTTACCATGAATCCATTCTTTCTTTCTGTTTGCTATTTTCTCTAGAATACCTGTTATATGTTAGGAATAGCCAATCACGAGTAGAATTTTGCTGAAAAATACTAAATCCATAAATTATATTAGAGAAATAAACAAATATAGTTGGAAAATAAACAAATATGGTAGGAAAATTATATTTATGGTTGGAAAAACAAGTTAACTAATAACATTATATCTTGTTATGAGTTGATCATATCTAATTCCTAAAGAAAATCTCAGAAATTTTGAAAAAATTGAATATTTAAAAGAGAATAAAGAACAATAATATGCAAAATGTTTTTCTTTTCTTTCTATTTTGTAATTTTACAGTCAAGATTTTATTTATAATAAATAATTTGTTAACTTGATCTAAGTACAAAATTTTTAAAATGAAAGAATTTAATCATTTAATTTTAAAATTAAAATAATTTTCCATTAAGCTACAAAAGGCTTTTATCAGTTTTGTTAAATATTTTTCAGAATGAATATTTAAAGTTGTATTTATTTTTTTAATTGTGTTAATTCCATCAAATTTTCGTTATAGAAAACTAACTACAAATGTGTATAAATATGATACTGATTTTTGAAGTCGTTGGTCTGAATCAAAAGTACATGTTTACAACAACAACAGTTGAACAAAATCTCCGATCAATAAACAAATCCAAGTTGAGTTGTCTAATTAAAAATAGACCTAATTAAAAGTTATTAAATAATTCTAGATCCTCCCTCTTAATTTAACATTTTTTAAAATTCGATTACTCCATCTGCACACAAAAATAGTGGAGAGATATTGATTCATATCTTCAATTGTTACTATTATATTATGGATAAGAGAAAACTTATAATTATACAACAAAAATTACCTTTATTCTCTCTTAAGATTGCCACAATGGCTGGTGATCGGGCGCCTTCATTTTTTGAAAATGTTGGCATGCTTCTACCTTTTTTTTCCATTTCAATATCCATAAATGCCATGCGCCCGGCTGTACATAACTTTAAGTAAATATTATAATAATAATAAACTTATGCATAACATTTTAAGAATTTCACACTTTGATTTTTACATTATCAGTGACTGTACATTACTTATACTAAGACCAAACCAAATTATCTTTCTACAATTCTTATTATGACACAAGCCCAAAAATATGTCAGCATATAACAATAAATATATATGAAAAGCGGGAGGATAAGATATTATCAAGGGAAACTATGTTGCAGTTATGTCCATATTCGTTGCAAAGGCATCAATTGGAGTGCCTCTAATCAGGGAAACTTTGCAATATCAATAACCCCAATTAAAATTTAAGGATGAAAAAAAATTCAAATTGCAAAATTCAATTAACTCTCAAGAAAAAAAGAAAATAACTCTGAAGATAACTATGATAATTATTAGATATTTAGTTAGTTTATGTATATATTATAGGATTTGAAAACACGTATTTATGACATTATATTAAGTTTTTAATGATATGGATTTTATTGTGACTAATGCATTGCTTGATATGCTTAGATGTATCTGAATTATGTGATTTTCATTATTTGTAATTGTCTAAGTTCAATGTGGTGGAAAACAAAATACTCGGATTGTACTTGAATCTGTTTCGCATATTATCGGTGGATCACCGACAAATATATTCGTCGGTAATTATTGGTACACATGAATTGTCGGTAATTACTGAAGGATTTAGGCTTGTGATAATTATCAGTAGATGAAGGTCTCAGTGGATCATTCTGTCATTAATTACCAACAGTCTATATTCGCCAATAATTATTTTCGACAAGGGCATTATAGACAGATCTGAGCCTATCAGTAATTCGTCGAGAAACATACAATACTAACATATTTTGGACGTTTCTGACGGCATATATCTGCCGCAGGTTTTTATGTAGTGTTATGTCTCATTGTTTAAACAATTAAGGGTCTAATCCTTCAGTAGATTGCTTCACCTCAACATGAACTTTCTCCATCCCTTTCTCTAGATCTTTGTACACTGTATCCATTTGATTTCGAACAAATGTGATCTACTAACAGAGCATCTAGCCCCTCCAACTCTAACCTTCATAACTTATACCCTTCACATCTTTTACTTATCCAATAAAGATACACCTCTCATCTTGTGACTCTACTTTATCTTTTTGACATGTGTAAATTCCAAAGCACCAAATATCCTTATATTATCATAGTGTATAGGCTTTCCACTCCATGCTTCCACAAGACTTTGCACTTTATAACAAACAATGAAATATTATTTATTAACTAGACAATAATGTTCGTAGCTTCCCCCTATAAGGACTTAGGCAATCTAAGCCTTAGAAGCATACATCTCACCATCTCCAAAATGTTTGTGTTCATTTTCCCAGTCAACCATCTTATGCCTCTTTATTCCTTATATCTTTCAAAACCATTGAACTTCACAAAAACAAACTCCAACACATTTTTTGTGCTCAACACTTTTAGTTTGGTTCCATACTAGTTACTCACCATGGTGTTACTCTTTTAAGCCTTTCAAAAATCTCAATCTTATCTTTCAAGATAAAATTCCACACACTTCTTAAGTAATTGTCTATGATAGTAAGGAAATAAGACCCTCCACCATGAGTTTGAGTTCATGTTGGACCCACAAGTCTACATGACCATAAATAAAAACTCTACTTCCCATTTGCTTATTAGTTTTAGACTTCAGTTTGAGACCTTTTCAATAAGTAGTGATCACAAAATTCTAGTCACTCCATCTTATCACCTCCCAATACGTTTTATTTCTCAACTCCACCAAATCATTCTCACTAATGTGTCCCAGTCTTAGATACCACAACTTTGCTTTGTCCTGCATTATCTGACTAGTCCCAGACGCATGTGTGATCACTCTTGAACCGCTTAAGATGTACATTTTTTTCGTCCTCTTTAGGAGCTATAGATGATCCATTGTTAAACCACTTTGATCAAACATAATGATTGACAAAAGATTCCTTTTGATCTTTGGAACATACTTCATTTCTTGCAACATCTCCCGATTATAAAAAATATTTAAGCCTATTTTGCACTTTATACGTTTAATTGTAGGTATGAAGGACTATTCCACCTTCCCATTTCTAAGGTCACAAAGAACTTGTTCACTGGACACATGTGATAATGCATCCTAAGTCCATGACCTAGCTTTCTATGCATCAAATGCAAACATCATTAGCATCCCACTAGACTCGTAGCTATCAAACACTACAAAAACATCAACAAATTCCTTCTCGAAATGAGATTTCTTAACTTTTTCATTTCTGTTCTTTTTGTGGACAAATCATCTTGAAGTGAGCTTTCTCGTGGTAGTTGTAACACTCTACTTTTGTCCAATCATTTAATGAGTATTTCTTCGTCTTCTCCCTTAAATTCCTTTTCTTTCTTCCTCTTCGAATTAGACACATTCAAACTCATCTCGTTATCCTCTACCTTAGAGTTTTGAAACCTTTTGAAACTTCTTAATCCTTATTGAGGTTAACACCTCCTTTAGAGTAACGACCACTCCTTCCCAAATAAGAAGGCATCTTTGAAGTGTTCGCACATCTTAAGTAAGACATTAAGAAGAAGTGAAGCCTTATTGTCATCCTCAAGTTTCACCTCAATGTTCTATAGGTTGTTCAAAATCCTATTGAAATTAGTTGTTCCACTATTGTTTTTGTCTCAATAATCTTGAATGAATACAATTTTTACTTCAAACAAACTTTGTGTTCCAAGGACTTAGCCAAATTTAGTAACTCAAGTTTCACTCACATCAATGTGGTAGTCTTCTCCTTAGTGAGTTCTCTCAATTCCTTATCATTGAGACACAAAATTATGACACTTCTAGTTTTGTTGATCATGCCAACCTTCTTCTATTGAGACATAGATGTTGACATGTTCACATAATCCTTTAGAGCCTTAGCACAACCTTGTTGTATTAGGATGACTTTCATCTTAACCCTCAACAATCCAAAGCATTGTCCTAAAAAAAACTTCTAGATGTTAAATATGGTGGATATTTCTTCAACTTTTTACTTTATTTTCTTGTTCCCATAAGTGATGCTAATTGTTGGGTTCATAACAGTAATAATGCAAGAAATCACACAAAACAAGATTGAAAGAAAACACCTTATACACATAATTTAACACACTTACAATGTACAAATCTTAACCTACAAAGGTCTTTATATATAAAACCTAAATACCCTTAATTTTGTGTTTGGATGGGGTAATTTAAGAAAGTAATTCATTTATTTAGAGAATTGGAATTTCTTTGAAGTTAAATGACTTGTTTAGATGTGAAAATTGAAATTCTACAAGTTGAAATTCTACAAGTTGTGGAATTCCTCGTTGCTCGGGATGAAAAAAAGTCACAAGTCCAAAGAGTCGATCATATTGACCTTCAGCTCGGGTTGAATAATCTTAACATCTAGCCTAAGCTGACTCAGCTCAACTATGGACTCAAACTAACTTGAATGGACCTAAGCTGAGATATGATTCATATGGAATAAAGGTTAAGCCACGTCAATCTGTTTCAATTTGGCATAAACTAAAGGTCAGACCAATTTGAAATCAATCAAAGGTTGAGCCAATTCGACATCAACCGAAGGTCAAGCTGATTTTAGGGAAGCCGAAGGTAGAGCCAAGTCAGCCTGAGCTGAAGGTCCAATCGAGTCAGTTGTGAGTCGAAGGTTGAGTTGAGTCGTCTCGACTAGAGTCGGGCCAAGTTAGCTTGCGTAGAAGTTTGAGTTGCACTAGCTAAGACAGAAGGTCGAGCTGCACCGGCCAAGATGGAAGGTCGAGCAAAGCCGGTCTATGCTAGCAATCTAGTCGAGTGGGTCTGGATAAAAGGTCGAGCTGAATTGACCAACACCAAAGGTCATGCCAAGTTAGCCTAGGGTAAAGGTCAAGCAGAGAAGACTTAGGCCAAAAGTTGAGTTAAGTCGGCTTAGGTTGAAGGTTAACCTGAGTCAACTCGGGTTAAACATCCCATTGAGTCGATCTAGGCAGAGTCAAGCTGAGTTGACCTTGGAAAAAGGACGATCCGAGTTAACCCTAACTGAAGGTCAAGTTTAATCGGCTTGGGCTAAATGTCAAATTGGGTCAACCAAAGTCAAATGTTAAGTTGGTTCGACCTGGGTCAAAGTTTGAGCCAAGTTGGCTCAGGTAAAAGTTCAAGTCGAGTCGGTTGGGCCAAAGTTTGTGGCGAGCGTCCTAAACCAATGGTTGAACCGACCTAGATCGTGCCAAAGATTGAGCCAAGTCGGTTCAGAATTATCGACTTAAGATAATATGGAATTATCGAACAAAGTTGACCCAAACCAAATATTAAGTCGAGTCACTCAAATCGAAATCCAAATGATTTAATTCAAATCAAAAGTTGAGCTAACTCAAACTTAAAAGTAGAGTTAAGTTTCACTTAAAAGAGAAATTAAATTATTTTATCTAAAAAAATAAAATTAAAATATATGACACTTTAATTAATATATAAAACAAACTATTTAAGAAATAAAAAATTTCAATTAAAAATAATTTAAATGTTATGTATTTTATTTTATTTTATTTTTAAATTGTTGAAATCGTTTATCCAAACACAAAATAATATGCATAAGCGCCTAATAAAAGCTTACACTAAGTTCCTCGTGACACTACTAGATTGTCTAAATCAGAGAGTCTACTTACCCTTGTGTAAAACTCTTCTATTAAACCCTGCTATCAGAGGGTCTAACATAAACAGAGGGTCTAACGTAAACAGAGGGTCTAACACAGTCTAACCCAGCATTTCAATAGATTGTCTATTCATAATTTAGAACCAATAATCAATAAGTTAATTTTAAATTAAATGTTTTAGAGGAACTTATATAACAAATTGTCTATAACAGCATGTGTCCTCTACAAGGTGTGAACAAATTGAAGTACCTTTTCGACACAGTTATTATTTCCATAGTGTTCTTACCAACAGGACCGCCATCAGGATAGGAGAATTCTACATGGTTCGATATTGGTTCTGTGTTGACTTTTACCAGGAGTGAATATTTCTCTGTAACAAAATATCAAGTCAACAAGATATTTTAAAAATACTATATAGACAGGAAAATAAATATAAGTTTAGATGAATTTTCTTTTAATAGACATGTTATGTAATTTTTTTTATATTGGAACATATTATAAGATGCAGACAAACTATAGTTGACAAACTATAGTTGATATGAAAAGTGCATAATTGAGCAGTATTTATGATCGTTAGTTTTCTCACAATGAGATATATATGAATAAAAATATTATTTTAATCTAAATTGTTTAAAATTTTAAAAATATACTTATAAAGTATAGAGAACTGGAATTATTTAACTAAGTCAAATTTTCAATTTATAAACAATTTTTAAAGAAATTTAAATAAATTATATCTAAAAAATTCACATTGAAATTTATGACTTATTGAAAATTATATCTATAAAATAAGATAATGTACCATAACATAAACATTCATTTGACAAATATTACAAAGATAAAATAGTGATAAAAGTATAAATGTTTGTAGTTATACAAGAAAAAGTAAATAAAAAATAATTGAAAATAATGTTAAATAAATTTAAAAAATTTAAGTGTGTCAAATCCAGAGAAGAAGTTTAAAGGTGTATGAAGCAACTGTATACCTTCATTACTTGGAATTATTCTGGTCAATATATCATCTACAATGTCGTCGTAACCTTTCTCAATCGCTAAGCGCAAAACTGATTTGTCGTTATTGTTTGTAGTAACAAAAACAGTTTCCTCAACCAGTTTGTTGAAGTCTTGTGAAGAATCAAAAATCTTCATTACATCTTTGTGACCATTCTGTAAGGCCTCATGAAAGAAAGTATTTTTCTGCCTGTTAGTTACAAAGATGACCTCTTTTGCTTCTTCAGAATTTGGATCTAAATGACGGAAAAGTGCATCCAACAAAATCTTAAGAGTAGAGATGTTGCCAGATCTTGCAGCAACATGCAGTGGTGTATCATCATTACTATTTTTTGCTCTCAAAAGGCCTGGACCAATTTCAACTATTCTCTCCACACACGTATCATTTCCGTAGAGAGCTGCTATATGCAGCACCGTGTTTCCTCTAGGCCTCTGTTGCAGTATAGTGTCATCGTCTATTTCTCTCCAATCGGATTCAGGTTTGTTCTCTTTTATTGAATCGTATGTTTTCTTTGGCAACAACCACCAACCATGTGCTTTAGCTTCATCACTGCGTCGTTCTTCTGAGCTTTCTATCACATTCCTTGAAGGTTGTTCTTCTCCCTTGTAGTTATTTTCCACGTCATCATTATTCATACCTGTCTTCCCTCCACACCTTAGAAATTTCATCATGCTCCTTTTCTGTAACAATATGAAATCTGTTTCTGCCCTTTCTGCTCTGCTTCCACTACCTCTTTTTCTGTGTTTGAAATACCAAACTACACACATCAGGCAATCCATTTTAAAGAATAATTCGAATAAATATATCATAACATACACACAAGACAAAATTCTCAACTTTTCAAGTACCTTCAACTCTTGAGATTCCACTAGACCAGAAGCTTCCCTCCCTTCAAAACACGGAATTCTAATATTACACCGACAACTTCTATATATAGAATCCATGACTTCAAAGAGAAGGAAAAAAGTAACATAGAAAACGTGATGCATTCCCCAGAAACAGTATTATTTTTGAAAGATTACAACCGATTACCATAGAATCTTTCATTGTTGGTAATTGATTAATCGATTAACAGATAGTTTTTTCCTATTTATACTACTACTAATCAATTACAACTCTGCTATAATCAATTATCAGAGAAGTTGTGTCTCTCTACAAATTCAACACTACAATGCTCGGTACAATGCTCGGTAATCGATTATCATGATGAAAAATCGTTTTTGGAGTGCACGTTGAAATTGTGTGGACTCCACGACATCCCCATAGTAATTTTTTAAAAATTTGCCTACTTACATAAAACGAAACTGGTTTTTGCCTGTTAAAAAGACCCATTTTCAAACAATTAAAATAAATAAATCATAATATACACAAAACACAAATTTCTACCTTAAACTCTTCTTCAGATCTCTTCATATCTCACTAGCTAGAAGCTTCCCTCAGTTCAAAATTTAGGTAATTTCAATGTAATATAGAATCCAGAATCGACTTGAGAGAAGTGCACGAGTATGAAATGGTAGTTAGCCATGAGCTGTACCGCAAAGAGCTCTCATTATTCTTCAACTCACCTACCCCTTAAAATATTGATGTTGATAAGGCTATTTGTTGTCCTACTGTTTATTCACAGTAAATTACCTTGACCAACTAACTTTTTTTTTGTTTTCTCAAAATAAAACTTTTTTAAGCAAATTCTCAAATAGATCCATTGGCAATTTATTTCTTCATATATACTCATTCACTATTCAGGTTGAGAATTCACTTTTCCTAATTCTGTTTAGAAACTTCAGTGGGAAAGCTTTATAGGAATTCGAATTTGGGGAACTCGAATGTTGAGGAGTTTTAGTTTTTTCTTCTTTTTTGTGTAAAGGTTAAAAAATGAAAAAGAATGAAAAATTAAAAAAAATTGAATTGATTTTAGGAGAAAAGTAAATAGAAAAATAATAATAAATGGGGATAATATATAAATTTTAATGGGTTTGAGAAACATAAGTATTAGTTGTAGTAGAGTGTTTTAAATAATGATACTCTATTATTTTAATTAAAAACATATATAAAAATATAAATAAATTTTTCTATTAAGGGGTTTCATTATCTAAAAAGTTTTGTCTTTCTAAAACTTTTTTTCTTAAGATTTCTTTGTCATTTCTCTAAAAATTTTAATTTCTTATTCATTTGTCTGAAGATCAGAGACCGCGTTGAGGAATCCTTGAAGAGAGATCTTCATTTCTAGCAGATCAATTTTTGTTAAAGAGTAAGTTAATTTATATTTTTTTTTTCTTGATTTAAGTGTTTTGCATGTGTTTGTGTTTCTCTTTAATTTGAGGTATGAGTTTTCTCTAAAACTCTTGGTTGATCAATGGTACTAAGGGTATGCTCTCATCAAGTTATTTTGGTTTGTAAAACTAGTTATTAGAGTTCGTGAAGCTGTGGGAGAAATCTTAGAGCTTATAGAATTATCAGATTGTCAAACCGGTAAGGGAAGAGAGTTTCCTACAAAGAGAATATCACATACTAATCAAGTTGCTTATTAATTGTTCCCAATGTCTAATACTTCAGGTAGGCTATTCTAAGAGGTATTGGGAACTGTTCAATTATAATGGCTTATTGTTCTTGATTATTTGTACGTGCTTCATAAATTCTATCAAGAAGTGTTGCAAAAATATTTCATTAGTGCAAAATTTTATTTGGTGAATACATGTTTTTCATTCAAATTAGAATTACAAAGTTATCAAAATGAATCATTGTCCAATTCGATTTAACTTATTGTGAATGGGCTATTTAGTGAGTTAATACAATATAACTTACTTAATAACAAGTCTAAAAATTTGAATTCAGTCTAACGAGTTCACCTTTAATTAATGAGTTAAATGGATTATCTCTTACTTACATTTTTTTCCATTAAAAAGATATAATTTATTTATTTTAATTGAAATCTAAATAAATTTAATCCAAATACTATATAAAATGACGATAAATTTGAAATAAATCCAAAATTACAATAATATAATATAATATAAATATATTCAGAAACATATGAAAGCATTTAAATTTTTATTTTTTAATATTTAAAATTTATGAATAGGTTAATAACTTAATCTGAATTTTATCAAAATAAATCACATTTTTAATGGATGAAATTCATTTTTGTTCGTGTCATCATCATATGTAATTGTTTTAAACTCAGTGTACTGAAATAGATTAACTTGTTGTTATGTAGATTCAATATACACGTATCCATAGATCTCCACACAAATTTGTTTTTTTATCACTTCAAAAATCTTCTTAACAAGTGAAGTGTCTTTTATGTCTATTTTTTATTTTATTTGATGATACTTTATTTGTATTCGAAACTCGTTTTAATCCATTTTCACATTTATGGTAATTCATGTGTTAGTAGCGTAGTCAAATCCAAATTGGGGTGCTATATGACGACGTTGACTAAAACCAGCGCGAGAAAAAGTTTATCGTGGAAAATTTTATTTAGTAGACTCATGTTTTTCATTGAATTTGATTGGTTGAATATTATAAAGCAAAATTGAATCAGTGGACGATCACTTCCAGTTTGTTGTTATTGTCACATGAGCAGTGCTATTTTTACGCAACAAAACGACAAATTACTCCATTTAACAGGGTCAAATAATTATATTATTAAAAGCAGTGTCAAATAAATGTTTTTTTAATCCGTGTGAAACTAACTTTTTCCTTATTATATGAACTGATTTAGTAAGCGTGTACTCGTGGCTTGAATTTTAGAAATCAAGTGGCCCCAGCTGATTAATTATTGATGAGTAGTGGTAAAATAATATACTTCTACATACTAGATTAATCATGAAATTTTGTATTTTTAAAAAAAAAAAATTAATAAAGATAGTATCAAAATAAACATAAAAATTTAGTGTGTGAAAAAGTATTGTAAGAACCCAGAAAATAATGAAACTGAACACTTAGTGTTAAAATAAGCTAACAATATAATAAAAATTTAAAATACTCAGTTCATTATGTCAGTAAGATCTATCTCTCTAAAAATAATATTCTCTACCTTTCCTCCCCTTCTCTTTAAAATTACTCCTTAGTGGCTCATCTCTTCGACGATCAGGAGGCACCTAAGTGATCCTAGTGTCAAGGGCTTCCTGTTTCACCGTTGGGTTTAGCATTTAGAACTGGTAAGTCACGTTCTCTAGTTTTTAGTGATTTTTGGTTTTGCTGCATGCAAGGAACAATCTTGTTTGCATGTGTTCAGCATTCTCCTTCTTATCTTTCTGATTTCATTTTGGTTCTACGGTTGGTCTTCTTTCACCAATCGGTGGTTCATATGTGTTCTTAGAATTTCTTGGAAGAGTAAGCAAATTCCTGAAGGTTGTAGAAGTTGTCTGGTTCGGTTAGAGGTAAGGGAAGCTAGTTAATTTAATTGATGAATTTATGGTGTATGTGAATGTTGTTTGATGATTTTGCATATGTATGAAATTACTGTTTGGATGGTTGCATGTGTGTCACTTGAATGTTTGATTGAATTGTGTTGAATTTGTAAATGCTGGAACCTGTGAACTAGTTGGAGTTTCTCTGCATTAGTGTTTGGCCTGTTCTGGTCTTGTGGAAGTGGGTAGGTGAAAATAAGATTTTGGGGTTGGGAGTGAATTTGGTAAGTGAGGAGAGTGTGAGGAAGTGTAATTGGAGCTATTAGAACCTTTAAGACCCTCTAAAATGTGTAAAAAGTAAGGAAATGGATTTTGGGTCATTGAGTTGATGATTATGCAGAATTTGGAGTGAAATCTGGTATGAGACTCTTTGGAATGATGTTAGGAAGATTTAGGTACCCTTGGATAGGTGTAAATTGGTACATGATTCATGTATGAAAGATTAGAAGTTGGAAAAAATGTTTAGTTTTGGTAAAGTCTAGCATGTTCATCATTTTGCAGAATTTATGCAGAATTATGCAGCAAGCTGAGCACGCGCTGTTGACCACTCGGCCATGTGCTGATTGGCTGCTCAGCCATGTTCAGATACTTGGTCATTAACTAGGTTTGGTCTCTTTAGAGTCTTACCCGTTCATGACCGTTTGGTCTTAAGTGGGTGAGTGGTCTCTTAGTAGTGTTCGGTCTTGTACTACCACTCGGTCTCTTAGCAGTGCTCGGTCTTGTACTAGCACTTGGTCTCTTAGTAGTGCTTGGTCTTGTACTAGCACTCAGTCTCTTAGTAGTGCTCGGTCTTGTACTAGCACTCGGTCTCTTAGTAGTGCTCGGTCTTGTACTAGCACTCGGTCTCTTAGTAGTGCTCGGTCTTGTACTAACACTCGATCTCTTAGTAGTGCTCGATCTTGTACTAGCACTCGGTCTCTTAGTAGTGCTCGGTCTTGTCTAGCACTCGGTCTCTTAGTAGTGCTCGGTTTTCTACTAGGGTTCAGTCTAACCTTAGTCCTCGATCTTACATTAGTTTTCGGTCTAAGTTATAAGTGTTCAGTCTTGTACCAATGTTTGGTCTAGTTTTAGTAATCGGCCTTGTCCTGGTGTTTAGTATGGTATAAGTACTCGGTCTTATACTCGGTGTTCGGCTTAACCTTGGTGTTTGGTTACTTTGATTATTTCGAACTAAGTTTTAGTGTTTGGGATAGTCTAAATGTTCGGGAGTGTTCTAGCGTTCGGTCCTCAACTGAGTTTGGACTTTGCTTAAGCCTGACTAGTCATTGACCGTTCGGTCGTACTCAGGAGTTGTGCTGTTTCCCATTCAGTCTTCTACTACTAAATATTATTCGGTCTTTAAATGTTGATTTCACTGTTTGGCTCTGATTGCTTATTATAGTTGCATTGATCTACTATGTATGAGAAATTGTATTAATATTCAAATAAGGTATGATGTTCCAACTGGTATGAAAGAGAATTCCAAGGAGGAATGTCTCAGTGATTGGTTATCAAGGTGGTGGTAAAGTAATGAATATGGACAGTGAAATCCACAACGTTCATCCTGACATTCTAATGATTACCAATTCTCAAGTAGAGATGGGTAAGTCATGTCGTGAGAATAGCAGGAGGCCCTAGCCTAGGAGGGTCCTACGGTGAGTGATAACAGGCTAACCTCGTGTGGCAGCTGATGGGTTTCCGGTTACTACACCCACGGGTGCACGAACGGCCTCAAGCTATATATTCATACTAGTCAGGACAATCAAGTTAAAGTGGTCGGTCAATATATGTTTATATGTTTTACACATGTTGTATGAGTATCCTAGTTGCTCGTTTGAATTGTATTTTCACATGAATATTAAATTACACTAGCTTACCCTTGTTCTTTTGTGGTATGTCTTTGTATGTTGCTTTCTCTTTTGCAATGATCACCTAAATGGTGTGAGCTTAGGGATGCACTCTTTCACTTGTTGCAGCGACAGTTTGGAAGTGAAGCTTATAGTTTAGGATGAACTTTTATTTTTCAGGTGAAGAAATTTTTGTTCATAGTTAACATGTAGTTCTTGTTATATCATTATCCATGTAATGTTCATTTTAGTAGTTTTATATTACTAAATTGGGATGTTACATTAATGGTAAGGGAAGCTAGTTAATTTAATTGATGAATTTATGAGTATCCTAGTTGCTCGTTTGAATTGTATTTCCACATGAATATTAAATTACACTAGCTTACCCTTGTTTTTTTGTGGTATGTCTTTGTATGTTGCTTTCTTTTTTTCAATGATCACCTAAATGGTGTGAGCTTAGGAATGTAATCTTTCAGTTGTCGCAGCGGGTTTGGGAGTGAAGCTTACAGTTTAGGATGAACTTTTATTCTTCAGGTGAAGAAATTTTTGTTCATAGTTAACCTATAGTTCTTGTTGTATCATTATCCATGTTCATTTTAGTAGTTTTATATTAC